GCTCACTGACCTCGTGGACCTCATGTCAATTGGGACACTGCTTGCCTACTCCCTGGTGGCCATTTGTGTTCTCATCCTCAGGTGGGCCCCCCCTCCATTTTGGGGTCTTCTTCTCTCATCCTGACCCAGCAGGAGGAAATCCGTGTTCTTCCCAATGCTGTTACAGGCCAAGCCAAGGCTTTGCTATGTGGGGGTGGGGGAGGGTGAGGGGTGTGTGTGTGTGTGTGTGTGTGTGCGCGTGCGCACACGCGCGCATGTGTGCATGTCTGTGCATGTGTGAGACACAGAGGAAATCCCAAATACTGGGGAGATGGGGAGGAGAGAAGAGTAGATAGGAGCTGCTGCTAGCCAGTAGGCTTCCTCCTGCCTCCAGGTATCAGCCTGATGAAGTAATGCAGCCAAAGGTGGGTCAGGCTGTGGAACTGCAGTGGCCACAAGAGGATAAAGAGGAGCCAGAGCCTGAGAATGAGCTCCTGACCCTTGGGAACCTACTTTGCCCATCCCACTCTACACCCACCCAGCTCTCTGGCCATATTGTCTATGCAGCTGTCTCGATTCTTGGTGAGCAATGGAGTGGGGAGCAGGGAGACTAGTGTGGGGTGTCTGAGGACCAGGGGACAGAACCCAGGGGTGACAGCTCCAGAGAGGGGCGGCTTTGGGCCTGGGATGCCACCTGCTTCAGTCTGATTTCTTCTCCCTCTCTCACCCCTGTAGCTGTGGTGATAACCAGCCTGTGCTTGGTGCTGGCCCAGTGGTCAGAGCAGCTGATGGCTGGGAACCCTGCCTGGGTTACTGTGAGTGCCCTGCTCCTGGTGCTAGTCATTGTAACCACTGTTATCGTTTGGAGGCAGCCCCAGAACCTGACTCATCTCCATTTCAAGGTAAGAGACTTCTGAGGGTTCCATTTCCCACCTGCCTGGGGAGAAGAGCCCTAACCTCCCCAGGGATCCCCAGCAGGGAGGAACCACAGTGTGCCCATGGGAGCATCCCTCTTCCACCTTGGATTTCTATTTTGAACAAACCTTGCTTTTCTCCCTGGCACCCTCAGTGGTCATGATAGCACTTGGCCTGGGCACATTTATGTCTCTTATTCTGCTCTCCCTTCAGGTGCCCGCACTGCCTCTCCTCCCACTGCTGAGCATCTTTGTGAATGTTTATCTCATGATGCAGATGAAGGCTGGCACCTGGGCCCGATTTGGGGTCTGGATGATGGTTGGTAAGTATCCGTCCATGGAGAGAGGGAAGGCAGTGCCTTTGGAGGACTTGACCTCTAAGTTTTCTTCATGTTCCTCTTAGGGAGAGAATGGCTGTTCTTCCACCTCACAGCCACCCTTCCCTCTCCCCCCTCCCCTTCAGGGTTTGCCATCTACTTCACCTATGGGATCCGGAACAGCCTGGAGGGTCAGAATGACCCAGTGCCCCCGCCTCCAATCACGCCCAAAACTCCTGAAGTCAGCAGCCCTAGTGCTCCTTCTGTCTGACTCCAGTGGCCTGGAGATGCTATCAGTGCAACACTGGAGATTGCCTCTGTCTTTGTGTTTTTGCTCACAGGGGACTTGGGCTGCTATTGGGCCAGGTGGGTCACAAGGCCTGGGGATGTCTCTTGTTGGGTCCCTGGAAGGGTAAGGGGTGGGGTTCTTATACAGAACTGTATTTATTGTGATTGAAGGACTGACTTTTGCTGTTTCTTGTCTGACCTTTTTTACTGTCTTGTCTACTTTGTGAGCTTTTTGAATTAAACAGAGGAAAATAAGAGCAGGAACTGTGTGTCCTCTTCTCTGGGGTCTCCCCCTCCCCTTTTTTCTTACCTCTCAGGTTGCCTGGTGCCTGGAACTCAGTTCTCTCCAAACCAGGGAGGGGATCAGTTGTCCTTAGATGTGGGCAACTTGGTGTGGGGATTCTAGATGGTCTAAGAACAAGGGCAAATAGTGTGAGAAAGAAATACCTTTCCGGCAGAAGCACGAAGGGCCAGGTCCTTGGGGCCTTTGCCCATTGAAGGGGAGGGAGGAGAGGACAATTCTTTTGTGACTTGGGTCTCTGGCCCATTCGCCTCATTCTGGTCAAGGATGCCCTCAGAGCACAGCTGAACAGGTTTTCCTGGTCTTGAGATATATTGGAGGAGAGGAGGCTCTCAGCAAACTGAGAGGTTGGGAAGAAGGTTTTAGCCAAATCTAATACTGTGAATCGACTTGCAATGTTTTTAGTTGCTTCCATTTTTTTCAATCCATGGTTATACCCCCAACCACTTCATCTTCATTAATAGCTTCACCTGTAATGCTTAGGTCTTCCCAGGTCCTTCCTTCCCCATCACCATACCAGCGTATGCTAGGGAATAGCCAGACCACCCATGACCCGGGTATCACATGCATAGTAGCAGCTGGTGACACAGTGGGTAGCGTTCTGGGCCTGGGATGAGGAAAACTGGAGTTCAAATTCAGACTCACCTGCAGTCACCTGTGTGACCCCGAGCAAGTCCCTTGACCTCTGTTTACCAGTTTCCTCAACTGTAAAATGAAGATAATAACAGCCCCTACTTCACAGGGTTGTAAAGCACTTAGCACAATGCCTGGCACATAGTAGGTGCTATATAATTAACCTACTTTGTCTATACTTTTCCCTTCTATTGGTCCTTTTCAATGATACCAGCTCAGTGCCTAGAAACTCTGGAATTTTGGAGCTGTGTTTCCAATCATTCTTGACCAAATGAGTCACCTAACTCCTTGGAGACCCTGGAGAATTTAGTCAGTACCTGAAAATATTTGAATGTGGAAATTAAGATCACAGATTTACAGCAGAAACCTTAGAGGGCTTGAATAGTACTAGCTCCTATGTGAAGCTTGAGTCTTGCAAGATAAAGACCTCCTCATATGTGATCAAAAGGGAAGGAGATGATGTTTGGGGGGGGCCGTCTAGCACCCCTTTCTCAGCCTAGCCCCCCTCAGTATTTAGTTTGTAGACAAGATCAAAGGGATTGCCAAAGGTTACATTCTGCACTGGCATTTCCAAGGCCTTTTCCCGTCGTCCTGTAATCCTGAGTTAGAAGGAGGTCCTCCAGGCTACAAGAAAACACTCTAGCTCATTCTTGTTCTTCTCTTCCCTCGCCTGGTCCCTTTCCTCTAGGTGTGAGATTCTACCATGTGACATGATTGACTGATCCAAAGACAGTCTTTGTTCTGGGAAATGTCAAGAGCCTTGGTCAGCCAGGGGCCCTTTCACAACAACTGAGTGAGGAGAAGAGGCACACTCTGTAGTGGAATGAGGAGAGAACAGATGTTCTGAGTCAGGGGGGACCCTGCAGTTTACACCCACTGTTAAACCTGGGAAAGTCTAACCCTCCCAGCTCTAACCCTTTGTTACTTAGGAGACCTGTCTATGATCATAGCCAAGCCCTTCATCTTTCTGAGCCTTTATTTTACCTATAAAATGGGTATAACACCTAGCTCTCAGGAATGTTATGGTTGGTCAGCCAACAAACATGTAGTAAGCACTGCCTTACTGGGCTGGGCTGGATCCAACGGAGATTGATTTAAAGGGCTTCGGAAACCTCCATCGAGTGCTAATACACAAGTCAGTGCTTTTAACCCTCTCGCTCGGCTCCCATACACAAAAGCCTCTAACACCAATCTCCCACCAATGCTGTACAGCTTCAAATCAAGTCCTACTGACCCGGCAATCTCAGAAGAATCCCAATTGCAAATTCTGGTTGCAAGTGCCTGAGGGTGAAATGGAAAAATGCATGATGGCTATAAAGTCAGCTGTAGTGTATGTGTGCCAGAAGGACCTAAAATACCCCGGCCAGGAAATCTGGGAATGGAAGAGGAGGGAAAGGGAATTGTGATCTGAGGGAAGGACCTGCCCAGTGGTAGCCATGAAATGTTAACAGAAGCCGAAGGAGGCCTCCAGCTCTTTGACTAGATCCTTTATTAAGAAAGTAGAATGGAAGCTCTCCAGGGCAGAATGTTTTTCTTTTGTGTCTTTAGCTAGCTCCAGTGCCTTGACTAGAATAACCCTGAGGGTCTATAGACACTCATGACTTGAATTGAGACACTGCAAAGATTGCACAAGTTGGAAAAGTCTGCAGGGAGGGAAGTGAAATTCTGGAAGCCTTCCTAGGAGTAATTGGGGTCGGGCCTGGGCCTACTTACATCATGGGGTGGACTCCCGTTGTCTCCGGAGAGGCCTGGCACTCCAGAGGTCCTCCAGGCCCTTCTGGTCTAGGCTCTCTCTCTCTCCCCTCCATCCAAATGGTAGCCACAAGGCAGGGCCTGGTTTGGCCCCTGCCCCTCCCCCGCCCCCCCCCCCCCCCCCCCCCGTAAGTTCGAGGCCCCGGGGCTTCAGCCCGCGGGCACACGGCTGACCAGGAGGTGACCCGCACCGAGGCTGCCGGAGGCCTATGGGGGGTGGGTGGGGGGCGGCCCCGGGAGCTCAGGCAGCTGCTGAGTCTGTCAGGAAGGTGGCCGTCTGGGGAGGAAGGGGTTGTGTGGGGCAGTGGCTCCCGGGCCGCCGGGCCGCGACAGTCCCCTCCCACGACCCCCGTTCCCCAGCGCCCCCCACCCCCACTCCCCCTCAGGGCCACTTGAGGCCAGGCAGCTCAGCCAGGCTGGGGCCCTGAGAGCGGGAGAAAGACGAGGCCCGATTGGAGGATCCTCCACCAATCGACAGCTGGGGGGGGCCTCGACCAATGAGGAAGCAGCATGCCCACCGGGCCGCCCAATCACCGCGCGTTCCTCTGCACCGCCCAGCAAAAGGTTACCTGGCACCATTAGAACGAGTGAAGTGACCTGGGCGGTGACCGAGGAGACTGCGGCCCAGGGCCCTGGGCCCACCGTCCTTCGGCTGGCTCGGGCTCGCTCCGTTTCCTTGGCCGCAGACTCGGCCCGCCTTGTCGGGTGGAGGCCTACGCGCGGGGGTGTACCGACCCTGGCCCAGTACCGGGCGGTGAGGCCTGAAGGGCAGGCCACAGCCCGCCCCTCCCCTCCCAGCCCAGCTCAAGCGTGCCTTTCTTTTCCTAGGTGCTGGTGATCCCGAAGCGTCCACATGGAGGGGGAGCTTCACTTTGAGCAGTTGAAAGGTACAGAGCTTCCGAGGGTGCTGCCCCGGGCACGTCACCTCCGGGGACTTGGCTTCCTAATGATCTGTAAAGGTGACCTTCTTGGACAGATGACCTCGGGAGGCCGGACGGGGGGGGGGGGCGGGCATCCCTCCCTAGGGGTCAACTGACCACTTGTCAGGCAGGCTCTTGACCCTAGGAGTCTACTGGTTCACCCGTGGTATAAAGTACTGTTGGTAAGTGAGAATCACCATAAAGGCCCCCACGCGTCTCGGAATCAGGCAGACCCGACCTCAAGGCTTGCCTCTGATACATTGACTGGGTGACCCAGGGCAAGCTGCTGAAGCTTTCAGGCTCCCAGACCACCTCCAGCCAGATAAGACTGTAAGGTGCAGATGAGTTGCTCTGCTCAGCGTCGGTGGAAGGCATTTCCACACCAAGAGTTTTGCACCTCCTCCCCCAAACAAAAAGACCCTAACTTGCTGCTGGATACTAAAAAGTACCTTAAACCATTTGTGAAAGATTAAATTATGTTCTACACGGTTTGAATGTTCAGTATAATTTACTGAAAATTGATGACCCATGTAAAACATTTATGGGAGTTCTCAATTAACAAGAGTATTCGATTAACGAAAACAATAAATTCCTTGAAAGACTATATATAAAGAATGTTTGGTCACTGCCATAAAGACTAATCAAAGGCAGCCTGTCGGCGTCTAGGTGGCACAATGGGTAGAGCATTGGGCCTCCAGTTAGGAAGACCTAAGTCCAAATCAGTCCTTAAACAGTCACTAGCTGCGTGACCTTGGGCAAGTCACTGAATCTCTGTCTGCCTCCAACTGTAAACTGGGGACAATAATAGCACCTACCACTCAGGATTGTTGCAAGGTTCAAATGAGATAGTATTTGTAAAGCACTTAGCACAGTGCCTTGCACACAGTCACTAACATATAAATGTTAGTTATTATTATAGTAGGGATGTCTGTAATGGTGAAACTACAGGGCTTTTGTCTTTAGTTCTGTGCTATTTAGACTAGTCATAAATGAATTATGTTGAAGCAATAGAAAGGTTGCTCTTCAAATTTGTGGATGGCTTAAGGATAAGAGGAGGATTTGGAAGAGAAAATCAGGATCCAAAAAGAATTTTGATAGCCTAGCATAATGGGCTGACTCTTGAACAGAATGGAATATCACAAGGATAAAACCCTAAACCCAATTGCCCATGTATGGGATGTGGCTTAATAGCAGCCCACATAAAAAATGATTAAAAGTTTAAATCAGGGGTTCTTAAGCTAGAGTCCATGGACTTAAAAAAATATCTTGGTAACTACTCAATTTAATTGGTTTCCTTTGTAATTCTATGTATTTTATATGATGCATTTAAAAACATTATGAGAAGGGGTCCATAGGCTTTACTAGACTGCCCCAGGGATTCAATGACATAAAAAGGTTAAGAACCCTGCTTTAGGTGAAGGCCAATATGAGTCAACACTGTGATGTGTTGTTGCTAAAAAACCTAAGGTGCTTTTAACCTTCATTAATAGTGTAATTATTATAAAGCTTTTTCTTCTCATCTTGTTTGATGGAGTTCAAATGGAACAAGTCACTATCCTGCTGTTTTTCTCTCAGTTTAATGTTTTGTGGACTTTTCTTACTCCTGTCATTTGACTCTCCCTGATGACCTGGCCTCCCTGACCTCCCTTTCCAGCCTTGGCTGCGCTTTTACCCATTCCCCTCAAGTCAGTGGTTGAGGTGGGGGAGTTTGAATATCCCTTAGTCCCCACTGCCAATTCCAGGCTCTCCCGATATCACCATCACACAGTAACCTGTCCTCCTTTGATGTACACTCAGTCCACATCCTACCACTCACTCCAAATTACAACTGTTATTTCCGACCTCCAGGACACTCTCCTTCTTTCCTCTAAGAGTTGCTTGCCTAGCTGACAGTCTTCCTCTTCTTTCCAACTCCTCTCCTTATGCTAGGGGACTTCAACATATATGTTGAATATGAATTGATAGTCTTTCAGACACCGTGTCCTCCCAGTTCCTCAACTTACTTCCCATGACCTATCACTCCATCCCACCGTAGTGGAATGGTCATACCCTTGGTTTTGCCATTGCCCACAATTGCACCACTTCTTTGTTCAGGAACTCTGAAATGCCCTTCTCTGATCACAGTCTATTGTTGTTCTACTTCTCCCTCTGTCTTGGAAACCCCTAACCCTGTTGTTTGTCCTCACTGTGACCTCCAATCCCACAGCCCTTCAGTTCTTTCCCAGACCATCATCCCTGCACTGGCTACACTCTCCTCCCTTTCTCATCTGCCCTAGTCAGATAACATCTGAAGCATTATGTTCAGTTCTGGGTGCCAAATTTCATTTTTTAAAATCATTCATTCATTCATTCATTCCTTTATTTATTTAGGCCGGCGGTTGGGGTTAAGTGACTTGCCCAAGGTCACACAGCTAGTAAGTGTCAAGTGTTGGGTCTCAGGCTGGATTTGAACTCAGGTCCTCCTGACTTCAGGGCCGGTGCTCTATCCACTGCGCCACCTAGCTGCCCCTGGGTGCCAAATTTTAAAAGAGACATAGATAAGCTGGAGCCCATCTAGAGCACAAAAAAAAAAGATAGGGAGGGTGCTCAGAATTGTTAGATTTGGAACAGTTGAAGGAACTAGAGATTTGACCTTGTATAACTGAATCCATGTAACTGACACATTTGTAACTGTGGTAAATCAAAATCTGTGATCTTGATCATTAGCTTTAAAAGGCAGGGTTTTTTTTTTAATTAAATTTTTAGTAACCCTTGTGTAAAATGAAAGTTATATAGAGTTGTAATTTTATATGGTATTTCAAAGCTATCATTGTGGAATAAGGCTTAACTTGAGTGACTTCCTTAGTATACTTGAGTAAGGTTCGGTGACGGACCACCCAGATTGCAGTGCTGGTCAGCAGTTTGGCCTTGGAGTGGATGTATTTCTCATCCACAGAAAGTCTCTCGAAGATTTTCAGGTAAGCCCAAGAGGCATGATGATGTGTACTGCACACAGGCATCTTCACAGCGTTGCATTCAAGTTGTTGAAGGGCCGAAGATGCTTCATCTAAATGAATGCTTTCCTTTAGCAAAGGTTTCCCTGTATCCCATGATATGGTTATATTGGGCTTATTTTTTCACTTGTTGATATGATTTATTATAGTGATTATTTTCCTGGTATTAAGCCATCCTTTTTATTTTAGTTAGAAAGCCTAGTTGGTTATAATGGATAATTATTTTGATGTATGGCTGTATTCTATTTGCAGAAACTTTAATATTTTTGCCTTGATATTCATTAATAATATTAATCTATAGCTTTCTTTCTCAGCTTTATCTTAATTTACTTAAAGAACTAAAACCATATCTGCTACAAAGAAACAGTTTTCTTACTTTAAAAATAATCATTGCTAGCATTTATATTGAACTTTTAGGTTTATAAAGCACTTTACATATCTGAAGCTTACTTGATCCTTCCAACAACCCTGGGTAGTAGGTGCTACTATTGTTTTCATCTTACTCCAACTGCAGGACCCTCTCCAAAACAGTTTTGAAACAGTATAGGAATTAATTGTTTTTTTTTCTCAAGTTTGCTGGATTTCACTCCTGAATCCATTTGGGCCCAGTGTATTTTTATAGGCCTGATCTTTAAAGGCCTGATTTCTCCTTCTGAGAAATTTAGGTTAATTAGGTTTCGCTTATTCCTTTTGGTATCTTATACTTCCATATGTAATCATTTATTTCTTTTAGACTTTCCAATTAATTATTGTAGAGCTGTATTTTCTTGATTTCTTTTGCCCCCATTGCTATCTCTTTTTTCTAATTTCTCGTTTTGATTTGAGCTTTCTTTTTTGTATTAGATTGACTAATTGTTTATCAGTTTTGATAGTCTTCAAAAAAAGCTCATACATTTATTCATTTTACTTTTCTTTTTTCCTTTGTATTGGTCTCTGCTCTGAACCTGATTATTTTTCTTTCTGTTTTCTTTGAGTATATTGCTTTGTTGTTTTAAATATTTGAAGTGTAAATTCATTGTGTTTATTTTTTCTCTTGATTTCTTATTGGTATGAGCGTGTAGAGCTATAAATTTATTTCTGCGTACATCTTTGGTTACATCCTATACATTTTGATACATAGTATCTGTATTGTTGTTATCTTTGATGTCATCTGCTATTATTTTTATAACTCCCTTTTTCACTCAGGCTTGTTTAATCATTTGTAGTTTCTACTTGGGTCTCTATCTTTTACTCACCGTATCATTATTAGTTACTTTCTGAGGACAGACAATGCTAGCTAAGCTTGAAAGGACTTATCAGCAGTAGCCTAGCCATTTGGTGATGTGGGTTTTGGCCATGGAAAGTCATGAAAGAAAGCCAGATGTCAAGTGGGCCTCAGGCCTGTGCAGCACAAGTGCTTCGTTGGTATCCATGAAATTTCAAGATATCTAGAGGAAGGTTCTTCCCCTTCTCCCTCCATTCTGAAGATTTATAGGGCACATATGATGAGTGAGCAGGAATGTATCGTATTCGAAATTATTGATGAGATCACAGATTCTTCCAAAGAGTGGAAGATGGGTCATTGTTTACTACTAACTTTATTGCAGTATGATTTGTAAATGTAGTATATGGAACATCTGTTTTTATGTGTTTACCTACATCATCTTCATGGCCCAGTGGAAGAATTTTTGTCTAAATTCCACATATAGGGAAGACTAATGTGCAGTCTTGGTTTTTTCCTTTTTGTTCTTGCTGTCTGTCTGTTGACTATGGTGAAATGCTCTCTGCAGTGGCTTGCCAATTTTGCTGACTTGGTAGTAGTAGCTCAGTAAAATTTAGACTACCCTTTAATTTGGAATCTATTTAAAAATTTTCTGGATTAAATGTTTTTTCCTTTAAATAACACATTGCTATGTTTTATCTTTAAAGCTGCTTTATAACCTTTTATTATTTTTACTGGAAAGTTTAATAAATGGCATTAAAAATGTTAGGTTT